CACACCCCCCTCCCCCTGCCTGCAAAGCACCCAGCTGTGAGTTCTCCCTGGGCTGACGAAGCCCGTCAAACACACACACCCACACACACACACACACCAGCCCTCCCCAGTATTGCGCTAATTAATTCCTCCAGCAGCACAAATCCTTCAGACTGAGAATCTTTCTGCTTACACCCCACTGGGAGGCATCGGGAGGGGGTCATGGAGGTGCGTGGGGTGACTGGGTGCCCCCCCCCGCCAGGGCCACCTCTGCCCTCCCCCCCCATCCTGCTCACAGACTCCACTGCTGTCCTGAGCTGGGCAGTCCTCAGCCCTTGGGTGCTTTCCTGGCTGCTTTGGGCTGGGGGAGCATCCTCAAGGGACACCCCCACCCCTCGCCAGGTTCCCAGCCCCATAGCCGGCCCCGAGGACGGAGGAGGAGGGGCGGGGGGGAGAAAGGGACCCCTCCCCCCAACCATGTTTTGGGGCCCTTGAGGCTGCGGTTTGTCCCAAGCCGATCCCTGCCCTCCCATCGGGTCCTTCCCCCTCTTCCAACCAGAAATCCAGGAGAGCGGCTGACAGTGTTCCCTCAGTCACACGCGAAGGCGAAGCTGGAGAGGCTGGTTAAAAAAAAATCTTCCAACAATCGGTTTTGGCAAGAAGAGGCAAAACCAGAGCTTTTCATGAATTTTTTTTTTTTTTTTTTTTTGTCGTTGCTAGAAAGGTTGCTTTTTCCTCCAGCGAGAGCTCTGAAGGACGGCTTCTCGCCAGCTCCAGCCCCGGGACAGTGTGAATTTGGCCCAGATTTAGGAAAAAACCCACTGGAGCATCGCAGGATCAGCCCCCCCCCCAAACCCAACCCAGGGGGCTGCAGTTGGGTGCATGGGGGGTCTGCACCCCACGGGGGGGGAGGCATCTCCCTGGGGATTTGGGGCTCCCCAAGGTCCCAGTGAAGGTGTCCCACACCCTGCAGGGACGAGCATCATCCCTGTGGCTATCGCCTTGAAAATGCAGTGGCCATCTCCAGCCAAAAAGCCACCCTGGTCGAGGGACACCCTGAGAGATGCCACCAGCCCCGCTCCCTGCACTGGGCACCGCTTGACCAAAACTGGGGTGGGGAGAAGAAGTAATCCAGAGAGGGGAGAAAAATAAAGGCCAGCCCCAAAAGCAACCTCTAAACACCCCCAAATGCCTCTGGGCACCCCCAGAGGTCTCAGGGCACCCCCAGATGCCTCCAGGGAGCCCCCCCCAGGCATGTTCCTGCAGCAGAAGCCTCCCACGAAGCACCGTGGTCCCCAGGACCCTCCAACCCAAACCCCAGGGGACCCCCTGCTGCAGGATCAGGCCCCTGCATGACACCAGCCTGCAGTGAAATGGGGCGCGAGGTGGAAATGGGGGGGGGGCAGGGGATCAAGTTGTGCCTGGGGTCTTCCTCCCCCCCAAATCACTTGGTGCTGCAGGGCTACCGCCTGCCTAGGCTTCTCTGTGGGGGCTGGGGGCAGCTCAGAGACACCCCCCCCCAAGAAGCATTTATGTCCCCCCACGGGGCAAAGGCTGCAGGGGCGACCCCCCCTTCCCCTGCACCCCACTTTTTACTGGGGTTTTTGGCAGGGCTGAGAGGGTGCTCCCCGTTTGTGTAAGTTGGGGGGGGAGTCGATGGGAGGGGGGTGTCTGCAAGGTTGGGCATCAGGTGGGCACCCCACTGTAGGACACACACACCCCCCCCGTGGGCAGCCGCAGTGACGGTGACAGGGAGCAGGGTGAAGTGGGGGTGCGGGGACCCCCCCCCCGCCCCGGGAGGGGCAGAGAAGGAGTTTTAACGGCGTCGCGGCAGAACTTGTGAAGAGTCGGCTTCAGGAGAGGAGGAAAAGGCAGCGCTTGGGCGAAACAAAGGGTTAAAAGCAGCGTGGAGGAGGAGAGGTGAAGGCCGAGGG